TTTTCATCATTTCTAGCGAAATGTGATATACCTAATTTAAGCAATGGATATAATGCTGCAGCAGTCACAGCACTGAAATATAATCTTGCATTAAGAAGATGTTTTCATTACACCATTTTTTCATCATTTCTAGCGAAATGTGATATACCTAATTTAAGCAATGGATATAATGCTGCAGCAGTCACAGCACTGAAATATAATCTTGCATTAAGAAGATGTTTTCATTACACCATTTTTTCATCATTTCTAGCGAAATGTGATATACCTAATTTAAGCAATGGATACATGGTCCTTACAAAAGATGAATCTGCCATTTCATATACATGTGTGGAGCGTTATAAGCCCAAAACAGAAGGATGGTGGGACTACATAACATGTACAAATGGAAAATGGTCTGATACTCCACAATGTATTGGTAAGAAAGCATTAGGATGTGTTTTTGTTGAATGTCATCAAATCATTTATTTATTTTAATGCTGAAATTCAGATTGATGTGCACTAGACAGGTGGATTATCATGGGAAATTTACACCCACAGTAGTGTAGCTATGGCCACTCTGTTCGGGGTATTCCAATATGACGGAAGCTGGACAAACACCAGCTGTCTCCACAATCATATTTTTACTTACATTATGATAAATGTACCCATCCTGACAAATGGGGAAAATCATTTGACTAATGAGTTATATATTCTTACTTTTGTCTGGACAATAAAATTATACTAATTTTATTTTATACATGTCGAAAGCCATTTAAAAGTCGATTGATAATGCACAAAGCTAACAGTAATCCCACCTAAAACTACAGAATGAGTCCAGTTCTGGAAGTAATTCACCAGATGTGGCTCTTATGATTGTTGAGACATTGATTGTGTTTTTATTAATACTGTTATTATGTTATTTCATTTTAGCTAATAACAGCTGCAGGGCTCTGCCTGTGGTTTATAATACGACACACAAGAATGAGTATTCAGTTGGGGCAAAGGTTGAAATTCAATGTTATTTGGGGAAAATCTCTAAATGCATCGATGTAAAATTGGAATGCACCGGTGAGTAGCAGTTTGCAATGCATCTTAGCAGCTAGAAGAATTAAAATATGTTAGGAATATCAGATATGTACAAAAGATTGTTTTTGGGACAAGACACAAAAACAAAAATATTAGATATACAGTACAGAAGGAGGTAGTTCTAATTGGATAAGCAACTTAAAGATGGTTGGACGGATGATGTGATAATCGTACAATAACTATTGAATTGTGCTTCTGGATGAAGCATACGATGTTTTAAAATGTAATTTTACCTAAAGAGAACTGCACAAGATCCAATGATGAAAGAAAAGGCAGCATGGATGAGGATGGAGGCACTTGTGAAGCTGAATGCCAGACTGATTACTCAGCAACATGCAGAGATGGAGAGTGGACCTTTCCGCCGTGTTCTGGTGAGTGATAACTCTCACACACACAGTGCACTCATTTTACAAACATGACACATATATTAAAAAGAAATAAAGGGGTTGCGTGGATATTATTTCATCAAAACGTGTATGATCTCTTGGTAAGATAAAAGATATTGCATGGTGCCCTGTATGCGGATTCGGTATAGTTACAGATGAGCCTTTAAGGCTATACTGAAGTTTAGCTGCTTTTTGTTGATGACCCGTTGACTAACATGATTCAGACCGTGCAGTTTTTAATTGTCCAACAGGGTACACTCTCATTAAGAATATCCAAAATTGCCCACTTGTTAAAGGTACCAAAGAATGCATGAAATCTTAGCTATATGTTTAAGATAAGTATTGTTTGAATATTAATTATTTTAATTATATTAATTACAATTATTTTAATTAGTAAGGTATGAGGTCACATTTGTGGGGAAATGGGGAAAATCATTTGACTAATGAGTTATATATTCTTACTTTTGTCTGGACAATAAAATTATACTAATTTTATTTTATACAGTACATGTCGAAAGCCATTTAAAAGTCGATTGATAATGCACAAAGCTAACAGTAATCCCACCTAAAACTACAGAATGAGTCCAGTTCTGGAAGAAATTCACCAGATGTGGCTCTTATGATTGTTGAGACATTGATTGTGTTTTAAAGGTGCCAAAGAATGCATTTTCTCAGTATTTTAAAGTGTTTTCTAACGTCTACATGGAAGGTATGTGAACTTGAGTTGGTCAAAAAATGCCCAGAAGCAGTTTTACAGGCCCATGGACCATCCTTTTATTTGGCCCTAGAATGAAACAGGCCATGTTCCCTATTATGGTGGGCTTAGACTGTTATGTAATTTAGATTTACATAACAGTTTAGGATTTTTAAATCAATCCATTTACCACGTTATTTTACATATGTAGGAATTATATTTGAAAGAGGGAACAACAGTATATGAGATTCATAGTATGTCATTTCCATGTACTGAACTATCCTTATTCAACTATGCCGAAGTAAAGTCAGATTTTTATTCTATGGCACCTTTAAATTGTGTAAATAACCATTAAATAACCATATATGTTACAGATAAAGTGAAAGATTCACCCTGTGACATGGTCCAGGATGGGCAGTTGGAAAATGAAGAACTGAAGAAAAGCATCGCAAAACAAATAAAATAAAGTTTCCATAACTGTGTAATGATATCCTTGTTTTATTTTTTTGTGATCTACAGTACAATTGCCATTTCTAATAATCTCAGAATCATGTTTTACTGATTAAAGGAAATGTGTTTATAAAGAGTGGTCTTTTAATAGGCCAATTTTGCAATGTGACTAATTCCAGTTACAAAAAAGTACCTTATATGTAATGATCAGACAGAGAAGATCCAAGTGCAGGAGGTGTGGATCTTTAATTCGGAAGTTCAAATCGAAATCAGAGAGAGGCGGGGCCAGAACCAGGGCAGAGACCCAAGACGATACGAACACATAATCCAAAGGGGAGAATGCAGGTATGTATAGCCAATGGGTCAGTAATAAGGCAATCAATGATGCAGCCAAAACCAGGAAAACACACGGGCAAGAATCTTAAGTCCAGAGACCTGTATCACAGAGTTGGCACATAAAAGCACGACATATGCGACAATCAGCCAATCACTTAAGCAAGGATTGCAGCACGGTTATGTATTTCAATGCAGTGGAACAGAGTTATGGTAAAGAACAAAGTATTCTGAAGTATAATAATGGTGAAGACCAACACCGTACCTGCCACCAGAGATAGAAAGGCATGATGCAACAGATTGCTGACAGTGGAAATGTACAGTTTGACTGTCATTAAGATAATTATCTTTATTTCCAAACATGTTCTTTGTGGTTTTTGTAATTATTCTTGTTTTTTGAATGCAAGTTTGTTATTCATTAATAAACGGTCACCTAATCAGCATTCCTTCATTCCTGACACACATACATTGTGGGTATGTGTCCGTGGAAGACGTCAAGTGTTACCATATCTTAGGAGAGCATCATCCATGTTCATTTATATAATTACACCATTCATAGTGGAAAGGGTAGAATAAATGCACTAATGACCATAAAACTAAATGAGATGGGAATACTGAGTATGTTTTTATGAATGGATTATGGGGGACAATGCACACCACTTGATTTTCAGATTATGTATCTCTATACATCTTGATTAATAATCACACCAAGTCCATTCACCACCAGTGACTGTAAGAGCGACAGCTAATGAACATGAAGTGCACGTGCGAACATTGAAATGTCAATTACAATTTCCCCGCAAAGAGGAAAACCATCAAAAATCTAATACGTTTACCACATAAAAATCAACCATATCCGAAGTGTGCTAGGAATCCAACTTTGTGAAACAGGCACCAGGTCAGAAACAGACCACACATGGAAAGGCTCTAATAGGCATAAGAAACAGTAAACTGCAGGCACACAATACTCCAAGAATTCTTAAAGTGCTGGGCTTATACCCTGAGTACAATTAGAATTAAGTGATCAGTGTTGGCACAACCATGAAATGTGTCCTCTGCATTTATCCCATATGTGATGTCATGACATAGCAGGGGGCAGCTAATTCAGCACCTGGGGAGCAGTGCTTGGGGGCGGTACCTTGCTCAGGGTACCTCAGTGGTGTTTTACAGGTCGGGGATTTGAACCAGCAATCTTTCAACTACAAGTGTCCTTCCCTAACCATTAAGCCACCACAATTACTGGTGATGCCTGGCAGCAGTTAGTAGCCCAGGGGAGGCGATTGTTGGAGGCATGGTGGTTTAGGTGAAGGTCGAGTTGGGTTCGAGGCAACCCCAGATGTCCAAGGCTGAAAGCACCCCACAGCCCCGACCTGAATCAGTAGATAGCTGAACTAGAACTCTTTCTGTGTTTAGACCATTCTTGAAATCACTGGGGCATTCTCAGAATAAGCTTTGCTCTGTGGTGTAATAAACCAAACTGAATTTAAAGTAAATTCTTTTAATGGTAATTAAAGGAATAACTGTTTATGCCATAAAATGGAAGTAACCCAATAATTAAAAGGAGCAGGGAGATGTAAAAGGCTGATCACAAATAACTTTTTCCTGTGATCAGTAATGCAGAAAAAAAAATGTATAACCAAAATTCAAAGGTCATTTATTATATACAGGAGGCCACATATAAAATGAGTTAGCGACATTTTTTAAAAAGCAACATCTTAATTTTCTGGATTGGCATTTTTGAATCATGTTGAATATTTTAAAAAAATACATTAAAAAAACAGAACCATTTAAAAATTTCCTGTTTAAAACCTCAAGGTATAATGCCAAAAGCATCCGCGACCATTTGGATCGCACGGAGAGGATCCATTATCTCTCTCAGGTTCCCTTTTCCCAAGACCCAATCAGGAGCAAATCTAAAAAAAAAAAGAATGAAAAATCAGCATATGAAGTTAATGTGGGACACTCAGTTTTTTTGTTGTTTTTTTTCAAAATACTGCCACCTTGTGGGAGGGCAGTAATACTTCACAGTGAAAAATAATCCCGAAAACAAAATGTCATCAATTTACTACATCTGACATCTAATTAGTTTACCACATAAACTGGACTATATCTAAAGCAGTGGTTCCCAAACTGGGGGGCGCATAGGTATTGCGGAGGGGCGCACCAATGGGATCGCCTCAGGGGCATGTGCCACCCTAAAAAAAAATCTCTTCACAGACTGGACAATTAAACAAATAAAGCAGCGCAACATTACAGTAACTAACAATAAACAAACCACTAACTTACGTGTACTATTAGAGCATTTATGTAATTTATTTAAACTTTATTTTACCAGGTAAATTAACTGAAAACCAGTTCTCACTGCTTTACGTGATATTTGGGAGAAATACATAACGCATCGGAACTTCCTGGGATACAAACGTCATACAAACGACACGTTCTTCAGCCAATAAGAGCAGTTCTGTCGTCACGGAGGCTGTTCCAGTTTGTTCAGCCGCCTGAGAGGTGCTGTACAATCCGTCTTAAGTCATCTTGCTTTTGCAAGGTTTTTGTACCATGTGATATGGTGACGCGTGAGGACGTTTTGCAGCGCCAGACAAAAAAAAATCTAACCATATCATGAAAAACTAGGTTTAAAATTTTCTACATGAAGTTCAGGGAGACTATCAATTAATGGGTATGATTTAGTGTTGTTTTGTGCTATAGTATAGGTTAAAACCTGCGGTTATCATTAAAAACAAAATGCGGTAAACGTAAGAAACTTTACGCCAATGAATATTAACAGGAATGTTAAATCTGCATTAACATAATTTCAAAGTTATACTGGACTTTTATTTTTAATTGATTGCTCTTTTTTCTCCCACAGTGGTGAAATTGCACCATTTGTATTTTGTAATTGCATTTTGTAATAATGTTCCTATCTAGAAAAGGGGGGCCCTGCAGAGAAAGTTTGGGAACCACTGATCTAAAGTGTGCCATTTATATCAAAATAGATTTAATAGTGATGATGGGTCAAAGAATTCTAATTTTGTTTACATGAATTTGTTACATTGACAATGATTCTGTGAATTGACAAACTAAGATTGGAACAGTATGAGATTTTCACGGTATGATAACAGTCTCAAGACTGATCATAGTTTCACAGTATGCAATATTTCACAATTATTATTAACTACAATGACCCTGAAAGTAATGAAAACCAAAGGATTTTTTGGTTGAAAGGAGATATGCACACATGCAGGAGATTCAGATGCAGGTGAGATTCTCCATTCGGTTGCATTTTTTCAATACCACTAATCAGCAAATGTACATGGTATGATGACCAGTTCTGATATCATCATATACTGCTGCAACCCTATGGCAGACATAAGTCCTTTAAAAGACTGAAGAACAGAAATGTGAATGATTACAGAATCATCACAACCATGCAAATGAAACACGAAAATCATGACAGCATTACCCCTGGAGTGATTAAGAGCAAAAAAATAAAATGGAAGGGAAAATGTAATCATCTAAATGGGGAGGGGCTCCAATATCTGTTACTTGAATGCTGCCTTTTCACATTAGATTTAAGAGTTCAGACTGAATTTTGTTAAACAAATGGGGGGGGATTAAATCAGGCCTTGGGATGTGACCGACCTGAATAACACTGAAAAGAAGGATCATCAGATAACACTGGCAGGTGAACCTAAGGGGCAAGCACTGTCCAGTGTGCAAAATGCAGTGTCCATGGAACACCTCCAGGAGCAATCTGGCGATAGACCCAAACCTAAGGGGCAAGCACTGTCCAGTGTGCAAAATGCAGTGTCCATGGAACACCTCCAGGAGCAATCTGGCGATAGACCCAAGACCAAAAACTGTCCTGACAGCTTTAACCATGAAATGTGTTTCACACTTACCTTGGAACTGGTTTCGTTTTGTGAGCCGGCGTATGAGCAAAGAAGCTGCCGTTGAGGGAGGCGTTCATCCTCTGTTTCATGACTGTCCGTTCGGCATCTTTTTTGTGTTTCCGAATGGTGAGACGATAGATGCTGCTAATTCGGTCTATCGTTTTCGGTAGCTTTCTTACCTCCTAAAGACGGGGGGGAAAAAAAGGTTGAGGTAAGCATCTAAAGAGGGGAAAAAAAAAAACAAATCAGAAATCTAATCCAAGTAACTTACAGAAGCTCTCTGCCTGTCATGTAGCAAAATGGTTAGGAGGAAACACGTCTTGGTGAAAATACTGCCTCCTTTGTCAGCCACTTTGTCTCCGGCCTTCTCTCTATAAATCTGCAGCAGTTCTAAAAGGGTTTCAACTGAATTTTCCACTCCGTAAACTGCTTCCGTAGTTTTGTCGTACTGAAAAAGGGAAATTATACCATCATATGCCATGTGATTAATACGGTCTCACACACAGAAACACACACATACTTCCTAGGGGTCACTTGGACAAGTTACCTTGGACAAGTTCAGGAGCACTTGGATCGCATAGCTGATAACTTCCATACAAGGAACGCTGCGATTGCAGCTCCTTATGAGAGTGAAGATAACAAAGGTAGCCCCACTTTTGACCAGGTGCTCACAGCATTCAGGTGAAAGTCTTGTTGATGTTTCTGAAAATGAAAACATTAAGGGGCTTCCAGTTTAACTCATTTTCAAAAGTGCATGCATGCTCAAATCATAATTTAGTGCTTAACTTATGAACTACCTAGTTAGCCACAAAATCCAATCCACAATTCTCCAAACATGGAAGCTGACCACCTCAGCTTCAGATTGCACATTCATTTTTCATTCTTCATAAAAGGACCAATGAAGACTGACCCAGGTGTTTTAAGGCTGCCAAAATGTATGAGAAGTGCTTGTATCTCAGGAGGTAGTCGATTGCAGTCGAGGTCTTGTTACAAAGCTTGTCCTCCTCTTTAACCATCGAGTTAATCTTTCTGAAGCGACGTCTCATGGCAGCAACCTTTGATGTATCGTGGAGCTGTCGGGATCGGTGTCCTCTCCACAAAGCCTTTTGAAAAGGAGTCAGGGGTAACATTCATATGGAAAATATGACATTCTGCTCAAGTAAGCTGCAATAGAATTTTGCTCAATTAAAATCCAATAATGTCTGAGTTCCAGTAAAAGCACCTGTAGTTTTATGATTCCATGCTGCACTCTCTGTTCGCGTCTTTTGGTCAAGAACTTCCTGACAGCTCGCTGGATGATAGTGCTAGCTCGATGGCGTCTAGATAACCAGATTCGCACTGTCCTCTGCAGTTTAATGAGTTTCTCTCTGTCCTCGAGGTACCGTTTCCGTTGTATCCTCGTTCTGAGCCATTTCTGAAAAAACAAGGTTTCAAAAATTAGGGACAAAATTCAGGAAAATAATGATTCACATATACCAGAGACAGATGACCTGGGCACCCAAATCAGCCGCTTCTGCTTCTTCTCAAATAC